CTCACGGCTCATCGCTCCTCCCGCGCTCCCCGCGCCTGAACCTGACGGTTCCCGAGCCGTCCTACCCCCTTTGCGAGGTGTCACGTCAGCCGGGCGCACCGCACGCTGGCCTGCTGGCAGGCTGCTCGCCACACGGAGCCCACACCGAACCACGGGCTACGGCGTGGCCTCCTGCCAGATTTTAATCCTTGCAGCCAGGGCCACGCACCCGAGTGAGACGTGGAAGATAAACATAGAGGAGAAGCATACGAAGATACAGCGTTCACATGTTTACTACATCTTTTAAGGGACTCAAACCATCCCCGTTTGTGTTTTTAACTGGCTGCATGGAAATCTTGCCTTGATGTGAAACAGCCAGGTAGTATTAGAACACAACAGAAAAGATGACCATTACATTATGCTTTTTAATTCCTCGAGGTCTATGACAACAAGATCAATTCTGCTGGTTTACAGTTGTAAAAAACTAATATGAAAGCTAATGCTAAAGTTAGCTAATGGAAGACCTACTTTGTGAAAACTAGTTTGATGCTGTAAAATACAGCTTACAGAGGAAAGGGCAGGTCGCTAATACACCAAATCCACTAACAGAGGGACTTGTTACTGCTTGGACCCTGGGTATATAGTCATCCAACCTCTTCCAGAGAAAGATGCTCTTCTGTTGCTATTAGACCGGATGGGATTTTGATAAGCTCTATGACTGCTAATACTTAACACACACATAATCAATATTTTAGTCTTATTTTTATGTCTGGGATTAAGAAACATAGAAAGTATTTTTTGTTTGTTTCTTTTAAAGCTTAAGAATAAAGTTATTAGATGTCTAAATCCAAACAAGGCACATACAAAACCAAGGCCACTGAGGAAAGCCCATCCTTTGAAGGGGCAGGAACCCCACTCAAGGTTTAGGCACTAACTTTGGGCCTTGGAAAGCTGAGCTTAACTTTGTGCTCTGCAACACCTCTCCCACGCACGGACAGGGAAGCAGCGAGGCTCCTCTGACATCACTTCTCTGCATGTCAAATGACACTGGCAGTCCTGTCATAGCCCTCCAACAGGAGGACAATGACAAGCATGGAAACAGAGGGCAGGGAAAGACCTTGGTGATCATATAAAAGCTTCCATTATTTTACCCAAAATCATGAGTTGTAGAATCATTAAGGTTGAAAAAGACCTCTAAGATCATCAAGTCCAATTGTCAACCCAATACTTCCATGACCACTAAACCATGTCCTGAATCATGTCCTCTTAAAAACGATTCCTGCTTCTTGCCTTCACTACTTTTTTGATGATTATCAATAAAGAAAAGCAGCTGCCTCAATACCGTGTTGGTGGTACCAAACACAAACAGACATCAGTAAAACACACAGTGTCTTGTTGGATGCCTGAATAATGCTACGCCTTTCTTAGCTGTCATGTAGGTAAATATGTCAGAAATCACAACAGCTTTCAGAATGGGAAGACTTTACAAAAGGCATCTAGGGATACCTGGTGGACAAAGCCCCGTCCAAAAGCCTCGAGTTCCTCAGTTTTATTGAGAAGCCAGTACCAGGGTAGCAGAAAAACATGCGGATGTTCAGCTGTCCTCCTGACAGCCTGTATGTTACATATTCAAGTATCTGCAGGAGGTGAAACTTAGGACAAGGAATTTACATTTAACTTTATTTTTACCTGGAAAAGGATGAATTCAGCAGAAAAATTAAGGAGACTGTCATGCAAATAGAAGTGATTTACAGTGTTTGGAGAGATTAAGTCAGGCTTTTGGAGGCCTGAATAAGCTACTTGAGCCCAAAGGACAGGAGGAGACCAAACCCTGACATGTAAAGCAAAAGGGCTCTAAAATGTCCCCCAAATCCCGTTTTGACCATTCCACCTGCTGCGGCCACAGGGTCAGCTCCAAGCTGGAGGTGCATTTCCACCAGCAGCAGTCCTGCCCCTGTCCCGGCTGGGGCAGGGAGCCCGAGGAGGCGTCGTACCCGCGCTGACGCCTGTCATCCTGTCAGCCCCGACCTTCGGGCTGTCCTCAGCAGCCGCACCACAGCCCGCCTGCACTTCCCCGCTGACTGCGAGCGACTGTTGTCTCGCTGCCTGACCTTACGCAAACACGATACAAACAGACAGCCCACCTCAGCTCCATCACTGTCTGCTGCAAACACGGGAGACTGATAGCCACATGAAATCAGCTCCCTGCTCGACCTTCATTACTGGGTGGCATATTCTGACTGACAGCCAACCTCGTTCTGGGGAAAGCTAAACCACCCGTTTGTGTTTTTTTACTGTCTACAAGTGAAGGAACTTCCTTTTGTAAAGAAAATCAATATTTCCCCAGTTTTGACAGAAAAAGAAACATTTGTTAAATATTAAAAAGGTCTTGCAATCTGAATGCTTCCCAGACCACCATGGATACCAATAACCACGCAACACACGGCTGCTCCACGACCCTCCATCGGATGCTGTGCTGGGTCCCGAGGCAGGTGTGCGCCTGCCTCGGCAAATTTTACAAGGAAAGTTTTTGGCTCCACCATGAGCTATAGGTTTCCTGAGGAGAGCAAGACCAGCCCTAAGGAAATGAGCAATGTATGGACTCAGTAGGTGGGAGGAAGGGACGAAGGTAAAGCAAACCCAGCCTCACACACGTCGCAACTGCCAGTACGGACTGCATGAGTAAATATTGGCTTTTCCTCACTCTCTGCCAGCCAGCTCACAAATGCACGATGCATGTGGCCTGAATAGCTTTCTGAAAAGAAATCGTGACTCTTCTGCTCAGAGATTTAGACTTCTGATAGTAGTCACAAAAGATTTGGAGTTGTGTTTTCTCTCAGACTCCCTGAGGAGAGCAGAAGCCAGAAAGCACACCCTGTGGTCTCCGTACCAAACTCCTGGACGCTACACAGAGCCTGCCCTTGGTCAGAAGGTGCAAAGCTGCAGCCCTGCAGCTCCAGCACAGAGTCTCCCACAATCCCCATGCAACAGAGAGACAGCAGCGACCAAATAGGAACATGAACCTTCAGCCTTGTGATGTGAAGTCAACCATCAGCTAAAGACAGATAAGTCATAGCAAAACATCTTGTTCCTCTCTTGGAGCTTGTTAAATGCGTGACTTGGATAGATCATCCGTGGCCGAGCTGCCCCATTGTCAGGGCCCAGCAGTCTCTCAGCACAGTGGAACCACCACACACAGCCCTAGGCAGCTGAACAGGCACAGGACTGGGGTTTACACACCACGTGGGTTTTAAAGCCAGACACTTTCCTAAGCCCAAAACTCTCCACCCCTATGGGGAGGCAATGGCAGGGTGTCAACTTGGCCAGTACTGTCAGATACCTTCTGCCATCAACCCTGATGAGAGGAGGCTCCAGCCCTGACTATGCTGGACCTTGTGAAGTGGTACATGGGGTAGCCATGACTGGTATCCAACCTCCTCTCTGTTATGGGCCAAAAGGGCTTTGAACCAGGTCTTGTCACCACAGCAGCTTCCTTCTGGTATAACCTTGATCAAGAGGGGTGATGGGGGCAGCCAATTCCAACAACCTGGTCCCATCCCCTACATGCCATGTGAGCCATCTCTGAAAAACCTGCCTAAAAAACTCAAGGCCCTGACGCCCTTATGGGCCTTGAGCGTTCAAACACCATCCAACTCCCAGGAGAGTGCCAGACCCGAATGCGGGTGCCGCAGTGGGTCTGCCTGTGCCACGGGGACACAAACTGCCCAGGGTGCTCAGTGACCGAGGAGCCCGGTGCCCTCTACAACACACTTCTGTGCACTGTGCGCTTCCACTTACCTTTTTGGCTCTGGATTCGGCTGGGGTTTGGAATCTTTCCTTTTTTTGGACTCCTTTTTGGAATCCTTTTTTGTCTCCGTTTCAGCGGCAGGGGCATGAGACACTTTGCCCCCTTCGCCTTCTGCACTTGGCTGTGACCCACCAAGTAACTCTGCCATGAGTTGGCTTTGGGGAGTGATTGAAACGTGGGGGGCAAGGCCAGCAGAAAAAGTGAAAGAAACAAGAAGAAAGCATGAAAAAACTCAAAATAAAACAAATGGAAGTTAAACTGAAAAGAAATAAGTGAACTCAAATAACAATTGGTAAAGAAGGAACGAACAAGCAAAAGTAAGTCAGAACTAAAAAGAAACTAAGGAAGCAAAAACTCAGTTTCCATGACAAGATGTATGAAAGTAACTGCAAAAGCAAGCGGCAGCCTTGCAATGTGAAACCTGGGCAATGTGTGCCATAATTCAGAATGGTATTTACCAGAGGGCTTATGAAAACACATAATTATTTTATAACATTATCTTCTTCAGCAGCATATGCAGGAGAGCAATATCTCAACATAGATAATGTAACTTAACAGAAAAAAGCACAGAAAGAAGCTGCAATAGATGCTACTGCTGTCAACAAAATAAACAGAAAAGGAAAAAGCACAGCTCCAGTTCTTCCCATCAAAGGTTTGCCACATTTGAGAGGAAGGACTGGGTTACTTCTGAGATGGAAACTGCTTTGCAACAGCAGCAAGATAAAATTTTCAGTTATGTCTGAGAGGTCTCCAAATTGACATCACACAGACTTCAAATGAGACTTGGGTGCCCGAGGGCTTAAAGCCCTTCTGAACACTGAGGTTTGATACTGCTGAAAATTTCACTGCCGTAACTTGTCAGATCCTCTTGAGCAGCAATTAAACCAGCGCAGTATATTGCTGACTTCTATTTATTCAACCTGTGACAGCCACACGTACTTCAACTCTGTCTTGTCCAGAACTGCATTGAGCAGGTGCCTGGGTAAGAAAGTTAAACCCTCTCTTTTTCTGGATCCTCTACGTGCATTTTTATTGCTTACATTAAACAAGCAACGAAACAAACAAACAAACAGACTATGCCACTAGAAGCGCTGCTGCCAAACATCCACTGTGAAAACAAATTGGGGACTGTTGTGCATTATCCACGGAAACCTATATTTGACAAAGTCATCCCTTGCTGGCAGGGAACTGCTAGCCAAGAAGAATTCCTTACCTGTTGCCATGAACATGTGATGCACAAAAGGCAAAGCTGTAGTGAAGTAAGGTGGGGTCAATCATAGCTCCGTTTTCTGCGCGCTCTAGCAAATCTCTGAGGTAGCAGAGATGTCTGTGACAGCCTCTCACTCCATTACGTGCACAATACTCATCTAGCACAAAGACCTGGCCAGGACTAAACCAGCCCTGTTTAGAAATAAAGAGACTTGATTTTAAATATAAGTTATTAAATACAAAGGCTATCAGATTTGGAGGTGTAGTGGTGAACTGTTCTAATAAAAGAAATACAAACCTACGGCTACATTAAGGAAAAAGGAGAGAGGTCACTCTTAAACAATACAGTCTGTGCATCATCACCCAAACACCGCATACGCTCAGTGCAACCATTAACAAAAACATATTATGCTACCATTAAAGGGAAATGTCATTTAAAATGCTGAAAAGTTAGGCCAGTTCATGGCAGTGCCTAGCAAAAAAAAGCAAAAAGAAAAAAATTAAATAAAAAAAGGTCTTACACCTTTAAGAGATAACAAAGGTTTGGTTATTTCATCATTGTGACACCGTAATCTCATTTTGGGCATGGGATTGTACATTTGGCCAGGAGCAAGAAGACTGATCTGGAGGAGAGGATGGAGGATTACACTGAGTAACAACTCCTCTTGCATCGGGCAGTGGGAACGTCCCGCGGACAGAGGCACGCGGCTCCCAGGCACCTGACAGGGACACTGCCATCGCCCGCCTCCTCCGCATCCAAGCACAGGGAAGCTCCGCTCACGAGCAGGGTTTCTTTGCACATCCCAAGACCTCAGGCTATGTCTGTCTGTCAGACCCGAGGGCCTGGTGACCCACAGCTCGTGGTGCCAAGAGGAGCCCTTCCCTGCGAGGGGCCGGCCGCGGCGAGCGGCCTGGGACAGCCAGAGCAGAGTGCGCCTCTGCCTTCGGGAAAGGCGCTCCCGAGAACCAGAATATTCTTGTAGAGTGCTTTTCAAAACGCTGCAAAACCGTCAATATTTACATGGAAATTTGGGTGCTAAACAATTGCTAAGACGCAGCTCTGGAATGCATCAAGCTGCAAAATCTTTCATCGTTTAATTGAAAAGTTCCTGCAGCGGGCGGGAGAGTAGTTGAGGCAGAGCACTGCCCCTATAGGCAACTTCTTTGCCACCCCATCTGTTACCCCAAATGCTACATCTTAGAAACAACACTGCTGTGAAAGATTAAAATATATTTTCTACCACTCAGATGACACCAAATCTTTTCTAGATGCCAAAATAGCTGCTTTGAAAAGAGTTGAAGAAATATCAATTAAGAGCTCAAAGACATAGAGAAGGATTTGCTCATCCTTATTGGGCCAACTCCAAAACAGATTGAGAAAAGAATTAAAATAATGAGGGGAAAATGATAGATACAGGGAGTAGCTACAGTGCTGGGATCACTAGAAGTGCACGTTTCAAAACGAAGGCACAGAACAATGCAGATGGGACGGCACTCTGGAAGGCTATTTTTTGGGAGGGGTAAATCTGCCTTCACTGCTTTTAACAGTATTTTTGTTTGCTTTTTGGTTGGTAGCACTATGCTTGATTCTGGATTTCTTTATGTTGCCCATTTGCTACATCCTTGGACTGTCTCTTCACCTTGCCTCTCTTCACGTAAGTCTTTGGCGATTTGGCATAGTAAAAATACAGAAATGCCCTGATTGCTCTGCAGTAGGAAGACGTGTGCATTGGTTACTGGGGCAGAAACGCAGTTGAAATTGTTATATCCACCTAGTACAAAGGACTCAGTCCTACCCATGGGGTGAAATCTTGGCCCTGCTGACATCAGTGGGAAGGCTGGCACTAATTTCACTGGAGTCAAGTATCAAGCCCAGAGTCTGGGGCAAAAGAAGCAAGAGGCTGAACCTAGCAGTCCAGAGCACTCCACATTGCTCCCCTGCACTGGGGCCTGAGAAGTGCTGGTCCTCACGTGGACATGAGGGATCGGGGCAAACGGTCAAGATTGCTGCCACGGCTCAACGAGGGGAAGCACGAGCAGAAGCTCAGAGGTTCCGTGATGAGCCTCATACCTCATGAGAGCACAGGCAAGCAGACTACGAGTGGAGGGATCCAGAGCCCAGGAGGACCAGGTGGTCTTCTTTTGCATGGCAGAGGTAGGAAATAAAAAATCTGCTGCTGAACGGGGCTCCAAAGGAACAGCAAATGCTGCTCCCCACAGCCCCAGAAAAAATCTAAGGTTTGATGAAAAGTGGTATTCAGACAAATCCTCCACATCTTCAGGCAGATCCTGGCTCTTGATAAAGATTTGCCTGGCACAACCAGCTAACAACCAGCCAGTCTGGCAAACACAACTGATAGTGATGACACACAGGGTGTCTCTCCCCAGTGCAGCTAGGTGTAGCTCAGTGTGGTCTCCCATATGGTCTTCAACAGCATGGGGAAACCTGGAGGGGACAATGGAGGAAGGCCGCAGAGTACGGGGAGCTTGACTGATGGTGTCCAACAAGCCGAGCTGCACCGAGGAGGGGACACGTGTCCCAGGCACCAGCAGGGAGTGCAATGGGAGCTCTGGAGCCAGAGCAAGCAAGGCTTAGCCAGGGTTGTTGAAACACTGGCAATCTTTCTAATGGCAAATGTAGCTTTTGTGAAAATCAGTATTTTTGAGGAAAAATTTTCACTTTTCAGTAGCTGAGTTTTTTCATTTACCACAGGAAAATCAAAAGAATTTCCTTTTGGTGGCCTGCTTTCTAGACCTTTTAACCTCACTCCCTCACGTTGTCTCGGCTAGGCTGGGCACTGCAGAAGACCACCCTTCCTTGGAACATGCCATGCTGTGTTCCGTGAATCCCACGAGCGCTGACACATCACGGGAAACACAGCTCCAGCTGGGACCTGGCTGCACGAACCAAATGCTGGCAGTGGGCTGGGAAATCTTGGGAAGAGCTGAAGGGATGCCTCAAAAAAAGCACATGTCCAAGTGAAACGAATGAAGACCCCCATGAGTGTGTGGTCCACACAAAGGTGGAATTGCTGCACACTCTTCCCAAAAGTCCAGGAAGAGCTGTGAACGCGACTGTGCTAGCAGTTCGTGGATGATGGGCAAGAGTCCTCAGCAAGCTCTGCAGACAATGCTCTTCTCTTTCTTTCTCTGCCAGCAAACATCCCTCCTGCCACAGCCCAGCTTCACCAGCCTGTTTGCTGTCACAGGGGTGCCTGGCTCAGCCAGCAAGAGGGCTCACAGTCGCCTTGTTTAAGCTGGTTCCATGGAGAGGTGATGCCGAGCTACCCCGTGTCAGGGTGAGCTGCCCAGTCTGGTAGGCCTTCTGTGGCACCTGCACGTCCACGTTAGAAGCGCAGAAGAGGTGTGACGAGGCGAAGCCCTGCGTGACCTTGCACAGGAATGTCCTGTAGGGAGAACAACAACTGCCCAGCAGCACACAGCATGGACAGAGCAGGCTTACCACGGGCTCGCAGCTCCTCCAGGCAAGCCAGAGCAGTGGTACCACCAATGTCCCACAGACATATCCAGAGCAGTGGGAACTCTTTGCACTTGAACTCAGATTTCGAGGGCAGTCTGTTTATTTATGCCATCATCAGGACAAAACCATATTAAAAGAAGAAAAGAAGCACGTGAAATCCAAGAATAGGGGAAGACAGCCCATTATTCTCTTCTTTATAACACTCTGCAACGGGTGATTTGAAAGAAGATGGTTAATTGGTGATGGTCTGCTCCGATGAGGCACAAGTCTTGGTGCTGAGGGGAGCTCCACCACTCCAGTAGCTTCTAGCAAGGGCCTAAACATCTCAGTAACAAGCAGAAAAGTGGCTGGTGGGTTTCTTGAAGAAAAACATTGTTAATCATTTCCAGTGATAGCCTTGCATCTCTCCATGAACTTAATTCAACGTCCACAGCTCTCTCACCAGGCCTGAGACTGCACAGAGACAAACCAGCTGCAAGCCAACCTGTCAGACATGCATGGATGGGGATGGTCTTCCTAGTATCAGCCATGCGTGGGGAGCAGAAGCTGCATGCCAAATTCACTGCCTGCCGGAGCAAAGACCTTGATGGAACTGGTGAGAAACCTGCTGCAGGTCTGACAATGCTCCCACCAAGCCTGCTTGTACCACGTGGCTATCTGTGAGTAAAGTGCACGCTGCAGCCTTCCCCCACCCCATCCTTACCTCAGGGGATGTCCACAACTGTTCCTCCTAGCCCTGCTTCTCATCGGGAAGGTGACAACTCACTACTGCTAATGGTACTTAGTGGATCTCAGTCTTTCTGAGCTCAGCCCTTGCATGTGGTGCAAGAAGCAGAGCAGGTGAGAGGAGCACCACAATGCAGGGAGACATGGAGGTCAGGATTTGAGACCAACAGCCTCATTGCCAACTGCTCAGTTGTGTTCCCAGGTTGCTGTTTTAACAGCAAGCCACTGAAAAGCCCCAGCTCCAGGGACTGCACAACTGGCAAAAGATGAAGGCTATCGGCACGGGGTGGCCCTGCTGCTGAAGAAGTCCATGATGACACCCCAGTGTGGAGGTTCCTGTGCAAGACTGGGAGGGTGGCTGCTCAGGATCTCTCCCACGTCATGTTTAGGACAGTGCCTCCATTTCAGGCCCCTCTAGAAAGGCGCTACATTGTGTTGTTTTCTCAAAAACTAAGAGCCTCTCCATCCTCCTCACTGAAACTGTTAAAAATTTATTGTTCAAGTTGCATTGCTAAAAGTCGTTTGCCATTTAAACTCTCACAGTACCTAATAGCCCCTGAGCTCTGCACCCCAGCCAAAGGCTACAAGCTGTCCTGGAACATCTCAGTGCTACTCTCTCATAGACCATGTTAAACAGCAGTGGGCTGAGAGCTGCAACCTGTGCTTGTGAGAATCATCAGGACGGGCATGTGCCTACATGGGCATGGACAGACTGCAGCACCACTGCAGTTATCCACCTAGTCCCACCTGTTACCTGCTCGGGACCCCTGCTCATAAAGAGACACAAAGCTGGGCTGTAATTTTTGCTGGTGGGACTCCACTGACATGGGAGGTGGTACCAGATCATCATCTTTCCCCTGTTCTTCCATCCAGAAGCCTCTGGAAGGCAGTGTGGGAGGCTGCAAAACACTGCTCTCTACTTCACATCCCCACACTGGAGCTTATCTTTGCAGGAAGAAACATTTTAAGCATTGCAAACAGAAATGATAAAGACAGTGCAACTGGAGAAGATCAGCAGTCAGTTCACTGCAGGTAGCCTCTCAAAAAAAACCACCTCTGGGCCAAATTCAAACCTGGTGTAAACAGAAGTCAATCTTCCAGCAACAGGGGGATTAGCCCCCGCTCGCGCTAGCTTTGACTTTGCTGCTTGATGTTTATATCACTAGAGACCAAAGAATATACTTGCCAGACAAGAATAGGAATCATTAAGTCTGTGGTCCAAAGTGAGGCGCTGAACCATCTCAAAGAGTGAAGCGTGGTCAAAGTTACAGGGATTGGAAGAGATAAATTCATCCATGCCATGCTTTTGAGCTCTATCTGCATCTGTTCATTTATACATATAGAGAAAGACACCATTTAGAGAGATATAAGACATTTTAGTTGACAAATACAACAGAAAAAAATATACAGTATGAAGCATGACAGCTAAGTAGCTCCTCTTCCCTACATTGCCATTAACTTTTCTCTTTGCAGGCTACACAGTACACTTCTCACCTCCCATTGTCAACTTGCATCAGTTATGGACTATCTTATTGCATTTAGGCAAAAGATTTTAGAATTAACATCTTGTCATCTGCTCATTGTAGTGTATTTATTCTGTACTTAAAACCAGAACACAAACCCAATAGCTTACTCCATAGCTTACAATACGCTGTGAGTTAACAGAATTTTGGCTCAAGTAGGTAAATTAGCTCCTATTTAGATAGTTGTGGTTAATTATAATAGATTCTGCCATTCTAATGAAGTTAGAGCTGTAGCATTTTTCTCTCCATTTACTAGGTTTTCTAGGTATTCAGACCAGTTATGTTACTTATTATCCAAATGCCAACATTTATCTCCCCACGTCAATTTCTTTCCTAACGGCAACTTTAAATGCTACCTCACTGAAATCAGAAGATGCTCTTTTAGGCATCGCTAAGAAGTTAAATTGAGATGTAGTTTGTTGTCACTGAGGCAGTAACCCGATAGTGTGGCAGAGCTGCCAGTCATCCCGACGGAGGAACTGAAATTTCCTCTGCCTGGATTACGAGCTGCCATTTTTTGGTGAATTAACAGCCTCAACATATTCACACTTCTCTGCTTTGGGTGACGTTTACGGGCACTGACTCTTAGGGGCTAATTAATTAATCTCAACATGGTTAACTAAAAATACACCCAATTCGGCAGTTGAAATGAAGCCGCCGAGCCGGCCTGGGTGCGGCCAGCCGGGACCCCGCTGGGAGCAGGCTTTGTTCTACCAGTGGCCGGGGAATTAAAGGACATCTTTCACTTGGTTTTGTCCCTGCTCAGCTTCCTACTATATGGGTTCTTGCCAAATCCTCGACAAAGAAAACAGGATTTAAATCCTTCCCCTGTTTATAGCCTCCTAGGGGAACTGGGTGGCCTTGAAACAATGTGGCTGAAAGGACTCAAAAATGCAGTTTTCCGCAAGAGTTCTATATGGTAACTGTATTTGTTTTAAAACAAAATCCCTCTTTACCAGAAAAAGAAAAAAAAAACACAAACCAAAATCCTTAGTTAAAAAAAAATAAATTTTTTAAAAACAGCTTTAAATGATAATGAGACACTGTTCTTTTATATACGTTTTACTATTTAACATTAAGCTGGGGAGGATGGCATGTCTTCCTAAATACCTTGTTCATGCCTGTGCTCTCAGATATTACTGATTGTTGGAAGCAATCTTTACATTTTCTGTATAGTCTGTCGTTAGCTATATACAAACTATATAAATAACATCACCCACTGGAAAGAAATCAGACAAATTAAAACATGTAACATTTCAATTAGCTGCTAGCAATACTTAATTCAGCAGTAGCTGGCAATTTTCCTTATTAAAACCCTGCTGATTAAACACTAATTTTTTTTTCCTACAGCTGGTTAATTTTTCGAGGGTTTGCTTCTCTGCTTTGTTCCATGTGCCGGGTCCTGCTGCCCCCTCCCCAGCCCCAAATCCCCCCTCCACCTTTGGCTGGCTCCGTGCACTCAGCACGGGGACGGAAGCCGCCACCGATGGTGCCGGGCGCCGCGGCAGCAGGAGGGCTGGCCCAGGGGACGGGGACAACCTCCCCGATGAGCACAGCACCTCGCCAGCATCCCTGGGCGTGGGATGTGAAGCCCACCCGGCGCTGGGGCTCACGGCACGGGCAGGCTCCTGTCTGTTTTGACAGCTTTCTGCCCCATCGTCTCTGTCCCTCTGGGCCAAGATCGATTTGACTGCGGTTACTCCCAAGGAGTTTGTCTGTGCTGTTTTCAATTCCATCCCTAGTGTCCGCAAAATGTTTTAACAGATATTATCAGACTATTTTTAATGGCTTTCTGCTCTGCCCGGCTCCTCGGAGTTGACTGCAAGCTGACAAATTGGCTGGAGGCCTTCATTTGCCAGCTTTGCTCAGAGATTTTATTATTTTTCAATTAGGAGCCCTGATACACTGTCAATCCTCCTGCTCAGCCAACGAGGCTCTGAGAGCTGAGTAAATCAGCTGGAAATTTGAAGAGTCCTCTAGCCCTTTAGCTGGTGAACTTTTTTGAGCATATGTGCTAGAAAGCATGTTTGAAATGATTAATTTTTACTCCAGGCTAAAACGCTATTCCTTACTTTATGTTTTCTTAGCAAGGTGACCACAGAATGGACCTTTGGTTGGTGTGAATCAACTAAAGCTCTGCTGGCTTCCATGAAGATGAGGGTCTGTCCTGGGCTTTTAAAGATCTCCCTGCTTAAGGCAGGGGCACAGACAACTCCCTGCCAAACATGAGAACAGACACAGTGATTCAATGGCCTTCACAAATGTCCATAATTAGGGGCAATTTTACTTTCATTCATCACTTTGAAGCCACACCTTACTGAGCATCCCATTGGGTGCCTGCTCAAAAGCCCATTGCTCCAAATCTCCCCACCTCAGAACAACTGGAGTTTTCTGCCAGGTGAAAGAGGATGAGCAGCCTCAGCTCTCCCCGAAGCAGCCCAGTCCTGCAGTTCTGGCACAGTCAAACCATTCTGCACAGGCAAAGCTGCAGGGCTGGGTGGGTGCATGTTGCCCACCCAGGAGATAAAGCTGGTGTGGTATGAACTGGAGATGTCTTTGGAGGATGGTAATACACACATGTATTTCTCTTAAATGGAATACCTGCTCTGGGCCAGATTCTTAACATTTTTAACTAGGAGTTGATTAAAAAGGATAATCCTACACTAAACTCACTTTCTCTTAATTAGAAAATAAACACCTCATGCAACCTGCAATTTATTTTTACATTTTCATTTTTCGAATGGACTCACTTTTAAAAATGAAACTTAGGAATCAAATTATACCAAAAGCATTAAACTTCATAGGCAATACAAAAAGAAAAGGAGAGATTTAAATACATTATATTACTCTGCTGCAGACAGTTGATCTGCGATTTAAAATAATGCCAACATCTGCACAGGAAATAAGTTTTATCTATAATCTACCTTCTTTCAAAATGGCTTATACAGTTTGCATGAGATTTTAAACTAAGTACAAAATGTGAATGACTGATATTCGCACCCAAACTGTACAGCTAATTGCAAGTACTTTAAATTAATTGTTTTGGTCAAATACGGTTGTTTTTTTGACCCTGCTCTGTTATTCTAGTTAAAAAGAAAGAAGAAACCAAAGAAAGAAAGTTATATGATGCTCCAGTAATTTACAATCCCTTCCCAAGGTGCCGTGCCAAGCTCACTGGTGCTTCTTTGTTTGGGGCCCCAGCCAAAATGCTGCTGCAGGCCCACAAAAGTTATCTCACATATTTAGACAAGCTGCACACAACTGCAGCTGAAAGGTGCTCCATGGTGGTCTCGGGTGGGAGGCTGCCAGAGGAGGGACATGGGCAGCAGAGACTCCATGAGCCTTTCTTCTGGAAAACTGCACTCTAGCCTTTTATATTACACTTGATCACCTACATTATAGTTTTTTTTTAATACTGCCAGGTTTTAGTTTTGTTCATTTTTACCCAGTTTGCATTCTACACTAACACCCCTAACTAGCCCCGTGTCACACTCCCTACAAGTGTTTGAAATCCGTGTCTTAAAATCTGCCAGTGTCAGGAACAAAATTATTTCAACAACTATAAAGAAAACCAAAGGACCATCCCACCATAAGGTCCTCTGAGGGCTGTATTTCTCTTTATCCAGCTGTTATTTAAAAAGGAAGAGACAAAGCAGTCAAATCTCTCATTCTGTTTTAAAAAATATATTGCCCTGCCCTCTGCATTTCTTTTGCTCCAGCAATAATTTTGGCAGATTTTGCTCTGAGAGTGAAGTTAATAGTGGGGGACAAGCTCCATAAAAGAATTCTTGTTATAAAAGGCTTTAGGTAGCCATTTTATTTTAAGAATTTCTTACTCTGGATTTATTTCTTTTCATTAACGAGTGACTTTGCTTTAGTACCAAAGGCAATCGAACATCCAGTAAATTTTACGACACGTTTGCTTATTAAAAAACCAAAAAAACCCAACAAACAAAAAAACCCAAACAACTGTAAATTAAAAGGTGACTTTGTATCTTACTCATCTGGAAAATGTGTGCTTGTCATATCTGCTTGACATTACAAGAATGAAGATGTGGTTTGGACAGTAACAAACAATGACACTAGTCAACCTCATCAGGAGACATGAAATAAAGGAATGACAATGATTGATGGCAGCTATTCATTTACAGATATTTCTAGAAAACTCTTTGCTGGCCTGGCTGGACAAAGCAGAAGTTTTCCAGCCTGCACAGTGCTCACCGTCAACGCACCGCGGCGGGCAGGCGCCCGTGTGCCCACTGTGACCTGCCACCTGCTTGGGTCCCCTCCTGCTCCCACCACCAAAGTGGGGCTGATGGACATGCTTGGGCTGCAACTCGTTCAAGAGACACCCAGGGGAGCTGCCTGGAAACCTCCGTTTGTTTGGCCGTGTGGAGCGAGAGGCTTTCCTAGCAAATATCCGTGCTCTGGACGGGGAGAAAAACCCCATGCTGGGACTTCAAGTGCCAGGCTGCTGCTGGTGAGCGAGCTGCTGGCAGCGCTGGCTGGTGACCTACCCAGCGCCCTCCTCGCCGTGCACGGTGGCACTGCCACCTCTGGGGAGTGATGTGAGATGTGTGCCTGTGTCTGGGGCTCTGAAACCTCCTCCCCGCTCCGAGCCGCGGCCGCTGCGGCAGCCTGAACTCGCCTCTCTGATGGGTACCTCACAGCTCTTTTTTTCCCCCCCCTTCATATTATTGCACATTAGAAGATAGCTTTAAATTTAATTGGCTGCTTATTCCTGCGTTGTGTGGCTTTTCCCCTGCTGCAAACAAATTATTTTCTGCTCGAGTTACAATTTTAACAAACGACTGTGAACGTCCCTGTAAATCACCAGACGCACTAGGCACCAAACTGAAACCTAAGTTACCTAACGTTTGGTAGTTAAAGGAATAAGAATTCGTAGTATGCACTTACATAATTCCTTGTGTGGCAAGTTAAAAACACAGTTTTAGAACAGCTATTTAAATATAAACCATTGTTTCACAGTATTTTTATAACTATGTAAAAATATTTTGAATTGGATGTCTGCGGAAACCTGTGAATTTGTATTTCATAAGTTAGTCACATGCTTCTTAGAGCACGTAGAAGTGATTTACAGGATACTTTTAAATTCATGCAAGTTATGTGAGAACTGAATTAACATTTTAATTCTGCATT